ATAAGATAGTTGGTATCTATCTTTAATACCCATCGAATGCGGTATAGGTAACGATCTAAGAATAAATTTATTATTTTGTCAGTTTCATTTGAAGTGTAATATCTCTATGTATAGATGTTCAATTTTATCACAAAATATATCATATGATAGCTCTAGTTTAGGGTATACCTGCCACCCAAATTCAAAATCCAAATGCCAAAATCCCAAATGCCAAAATTCCAAATCCCAAATCCCAAATACTAATAATTTGGGATTTTGGCATCCCAAATTCCAAATGATTTGGGATTTGGGCAACACGTATAGTTTAGGGGAATCTAATAAAAAAAAAAAGTTTGTACAATTTAAATCACTCATTGTGCCACAATTAGCATTTTAATTTTAGCAATTATTTTCAAATTTTATTATTCCACAAATACTTTTACTAGGGGAGTATATTTGATCCTACTTTAAAGAAGTATTTAATGGAGAAAGTGTTGCAAGAAATCTTACCATCGATATTATGTGTAATAGGATATCAATTACTGGTCATGTCACAAGAGGTTGCCGATCATTAATAGAAATTGTTATAACAATAAATTACAAGAAATCTTTCTGATGTTACCTCTTTTACTTCATTAACTTTATTAGATAACTCTTGCATGATCTTTTGATGCTCAAGTAATCCATCCTAATATATATAAAGTTAACTAATTTTTATAAAATCATATAAGCCAACAAATTTTATTAACATATTACGTAATATGAAATAAGTTTGAAAACTTGCTTATAGAAGATAATGCAAATAGGAAAACTATACTTCAGATTTCAACCTCTTTACAAACTTGTGATTCATAAAGTGATACTTCTATAAGTGTAATTTGATCTTCTACAAAATAACAAATTTATTATTATGATGATATTAATACATTAGTATTAATTTATTATATGAAAATATTTCCATACCAATAATCTGTATACTATGAGTTTTTAATTTTTTGCAGTTTCAATACTACAATATGGAACTTCTATAATTAAAAAAATAATTACCTTTTTTAAACCATTATAGCACATGATGAAGTATAAACATTTAAAATTCTAACTGATAAATTTAATAGATTTTTATCACAGCTTTCATAATTATCAGTTAGATTTTTTTAATTTTATTTTTGTTCATATTATTAGCTTGCAAAGTCTGATTACTTTACTATAGTATTATGAAATTGAGACATTATGCATGTAACATAGAAGAATTTCAATTGGTCAAATAATTCCATATTTTCAAAAAACAATTTGAATTACCTAAAATCATTTTCAGATCTTTGGATCTCAGCTGCTTCTCCTCTTTATTTTGTTATGAGAGTAAAGAAAAGTATGTGTGTTGCCAGGACGTGACTTCAAAATAATGAATGTGGATCAAGAAAGAAATTTATATCTCAGAGTGAGTAAAGCGAGAGCAATTATTTGAAAGTAAATAATGGAACAGAAACAAATAGTGGAAGTAATTATAACATCAAAGATGACACCAAAGATGACAACATCAAAGATGACAACATCGAAGACAATGATACTAAAAGCAACAATATCTTAATAAAAAACTTGTCAAGTCTTAAATTATATTGAATCTAAAAAGCATAATTCTTATACTGGTAATTTTTGAGCCATTAAATATCAAAAGTATGGACCAATAGATTTATATACTAAAGCTGCAAAAAATACTTATCTCATCACCAATTATTTTGTCTCTTCTGAATTATATAATAATAATAATGAATTACCTAAGATTGCACCAGATATACATCAAGATATTGTTAACAAAATTTATAGAACTGATAATGGTAAAATTACTGTTGATAAAGAAATTATATAGACCGATAATAAAGAAATTATATAGACCGATGATAAAGGAATTATAGGAACTAATAATGAAGAAATTATAGAAACCAATGATAAAGAAATTATAGAAATCGATAATGAAAAAATTATAGAAACTGAGGGAGGAAGGGGGGTTTTTTTAGCTAAGGTATTAGCATCGGTTAGTTGGTATAAGCTCATCTTTTACTATAGTGATCTTTTTTAGTTATTGTATAGCTTTTTGATCTTTTTCACCTTTCAATATATCTAGAATTCTATTTTGCTTTCTTGCCTAGTTGGAGTTTTCAGAATCTTAATCTCGATGACATTTGTTTTATGATTTAGACCATATTTTCGTTAGATAAAAAATATATTGTATAGCTATCTGGCCTTTAATCATTTTTTTAACGTCTAGAAATCTATATTGTTTTCTTGCCCAGTTTAAGTTTCCAAAATCTTAATTTTGATAATGATAAATTTATGTTTTAGCCCTATTTGAAAGGTATAATGCAAAATACAGTGGAGTATCTAGACCCACCTGTAGGGTTGTTAACTGGAGCATAATGTTCTGGCATCAACTCGGGTTATGTATCACTCTGTCACGGAGCGGGTTAAGATTTCTAATTTTTTGT